ATTTTAATATATTAAAACAAAATAACATTCTTCTTTCTTTCCCAAATAACCATCTCACTCACTTATGGCGACCGTTAGGCAGTGCACCTCTCAAACCTTGGAAATCAGACTAAACAGCACCACCTTTATTTCTTCTACAAACTGATTTTTGCCTGTACTTAGCAACTGCTAAAAACCCAGCTTCACAAAAATATGACATCATAGAAAGGGATTTGGCACCATCTAATGTTGAAATGGAACTACCAGGAACTAGGAGTTCCAGGGTATCTGACAAATGTACCTGTGCTTCTCTTGGAAACTTAAAATACCTCACTGTACCCACTGTGAACGTGTGCCACAGTGTCTCAGGGCAACAGCACCGTGTGGGACCCTATTGGGAAGTTCTTCTCTTACATGGTAATAATACACCCTAAGTTATTCACCAAGATTCCTATTAGTAAATACTGATTTATAATCGTCACTTTCAAACAATGTTGCAATAAAAGTCCTTCTACATTATCTATGCATATTTGTCCCATTATTTCATTCACTTGTTTATTCAACTCATTTTTATTACATGTCTATCATGTGCCAGGCACTACTTGAGATACTGAGGGAACATGAATAACACAGACAAGGTCCCTCATGAAATCCATTCTCTAGCAAGGAAGCAAAAGACAGAAAAACTAATCCTTTCTGGAGTGACAGGCTGTGAAGGAAAATATAGCAGAGAATGATCAGAGAAAGCAAGGGCAGGACAGGGGATGCTATTTAAACAGAGTGGTCAGGGAAGCGCTCCTAAAGATATGACATCAGCCAGGCGCAGTGGCTCATGCTTGGAATCCCAGCACTTTGGGAGGCCAAGCAAGGGGATCGCTTGAGCCCAGTTCACCAGCCTGGGTAACACAGTGAGAACCCATCTCTACAACAAATTTAAAAATTAGACAGGCATGGGGGTACAAGCCTATAGTCCCAGCTACTGAGATGGGGCTTGGGGGTCTGAGGTGGGAGCATCTTTTTTTTTTTTGAGACCAAGTCTCACTCTGTCGCCCAGGCTGGAGTGCAATGGCACGGCCTCGGCTCACTGCAACCTCCACCTCCCAGGTTAAAGCGATTCTCCTGCCTCAGCCTCCTGAGTAGCTGGGATTACAGGGGTGTGCCAACACACCCAGCTAATTTTTGTATTTTTAGTAAAGACAGAGTTTCACTATTTTGGCCAGGCTGGTCTCAAACTCCTGACCTCGTGATCTGCCCACCTCGGCCTCCCAAAGTGCTGGGATCACAGACGTGAGCCACTGTACCTGGCCTGGGAGCATCTATTGAGCCCAAGAGGCTGCAGTGAGCTGTGATCGAGCCACTGCACTGCAGCCTGGGGGACAGAGGGAGACCCTGTGTCAAAAAAAAAAAAAAATTCAATTTCAACAGAGAACAGATATAAAGGAACAGGCAGGCAGAGAAGCGGTCTGAGCAATGTTGTTCCAAGCAGGAGGAATAGTGAATAATAAAGTCCTTGAGGTGGGAATAAGCTTGCAGTGTTAGAGGAGCAAGCAGTCAGCATGGTTCAAGAAAAGCAAAGAAGAGACTAGTAATGAGATGGAGAGGCAAGCAGGAGCCAGATAAAACAGCACTTTATAGGTCAGAATAAGGAGTCCTGAAACCTCTGGAGAGGATTCCATGCAGGGAAGGGAAGGGATGAAGAGCTCTCTCTAGCCTGCTCTAGCTGTTCTTGGAAACTGTAGGAAGACCAACTAGGGCTACTATAGCACTCCACAGGAAAGATGACAGTAAGGTGGAATATGGTGGGACACGGTGGTGGTGATGGTCATAAATGGCTGGATTCCAGGCATACTTTGAAAAGTAGAACTGACACTCTGGCAGATGGACTAAGTGGAGATTGTGAGAAAGAGAATCAAAGATGGCTTTTAGGTTTTTGGCCTGAGCAAATGGATGGAGAAACATTTACTAAACCATGCAAAACTGGGAAAGGGAGAATTAAGCTTTTTTAAACTAAGGATGAATTTTTGTAAGTGGTAATGCTTGATCAAATGATTCACATATTACAAGTTGATAAAAGTGTCAGACCAGAGGCCAGGCATGGCGGCTCATGCCTGTAATCCCAGCACTTTGGGAGGCCAAGGTAGGCGGGTCCCCTGAGGTCAGGAGTTCAAGACCAGCCTGGGTAACATGATTTCCCACTCCAGAGTTACCGATGTTAAAGGCAATCAGACGAATCCTAGGGAGTCTTTACAAGTTTGGTTAAGAAGCCAAACCCCGGATAGCTACTAAATACAAAAATACTAAATACAAAATACAAAATACTAAATACAAAATACAAAAAATAGACAGACGTTGTGGCACACACCTGTAATCCCAGCTAATCGGGAGGCTGAGGCAGAAGGCTCTCTTGAACCCGGGAGGTGGAGGTTGCAGTGAGCCAAGATTGTGCCACTGCACTCCAGCCTGGGTGACAAGAGTGAGATTCCGTCTCAAAAAAAAACAAAAGGCCGGGCGCGGTGGCTCAAGCCTGTAATCCCAGCACTTTGGGAGGCCGAGACGGGCGGATCACGAGGTCAGGAGATCGAGACCATCCTGGCGAACACGGTGAAACCCCGTCTCTACTAAAAAATACAAAAAAAAAAACTAGCCGGGCGAGGTGGCGGGCGCCTGTAGTCCCAGCTACTCGGGAGGCTGAGGCAGGAGAATGGCGTAAACCCAGGAGGCGGAGCTTGCAGTGAGCTGAGATCTGGCCACTGCACTCCAGCCTGGGCGACAGAGCCAGACTCCATCTCAAAAAAACAAAAAAAAACAAAAAAAAACAAAAAAAACAAAAAAACAAAAAAAAACTGTCAGACCATCCTCCAAAAAGGTTTTACCAATCTATCTTTCTACCAAAAATGTATAAGCATGTCTATTTCCCAATATTTTTGCAGCAGGGAAAAAAAGTTGGATAAGAGAAATAATTTTATTTTAATCTGGATCTTTTTAATTAGAAAGCCAACTCTTTGTTGGCCATTTGCACTACTTCTGTGAACTGCCTATTCATCTCCTTTACCCATTTTTCTAGTAGATAGGTACTTTACTGATTTGTAAGTGTTCCTTGTACATCGATAAATTTAACCTTGTCTGCATAATTGCAAGTATTGTTTCCTGATCTGTTTTTCAGCTTTGCCACAGTGCCTCTGCAAACAGAAGTGGCTCTTATTTTTACGTAGTGAAATCTGCCTTGGTCTTCCTTATATATAACGTTTAGCTCATTTTAGGCATTCCATAAAACTTACCTGTAATTAACTACTATTAAGGACTTCTGTCTCTGGTATGAGCCCTGCAAAAGCCTTCTATTTTTTTCTAGTATTTTATGGGTTTTTTTAGATTTAAGTCTTAACTTCATCTGGAACTGATTCTGTGGTATGGTGTGAGGTCAGGACGTTCTGACTCCTCACATAGCTGAATTTTCTTCCAGCAAAATGGTCTCTATCCACAAACAGCCACTTAACTCCATTCTTTCCAGCCAGTGGGCTCCCTCTACTTAGCTCCACAAGGGAAGAAGTCCAAGTCACCAATAGCTCTCCCCTAGGACTGCCCTCCTCTCTCTGGTCTCTCCTCCTCCCGCATCAGTTCTTCATAGAGCAACTACAGCAGTATTTTTTCCAATGCGAGTTTGCTGTCACTCTCCTGTTTATAACTGTCCAAGGACTACCTACTGAAAATAGAATTAAGTCCTGACTCCTTAACATAATATACAATATCCCATGCTTCTCCAGCCAATTTCTGTAACACTCTTCTTCTCTCATCCACTAAACCTCAGCCACACCGGCCGCCTTTCACCCTCTAGGACAAGCCCAAGTTCATTTCTCCCTCAGGCCCTTTGCACTTGCTATTTCCTCTGCCGGAAAAGCTCTCGCCATAGAAACTACGGCTTCGATGACTGGCTGCCTCTCATCATTCGGGTAAAGTCTTCTCAGACAGGCCTTCCCAGACCCTAACACCATCCCATCAAAAGTAGCCCCACCTCGGCTGGGCGCGGTGGCTCACGCCTGTAATCCCAGCACTTTGAGAGGCCGAGGTGGGTGGTTCACCTGAAGTCAGGAGTTCAGCCACTGCACTCCGGCCTGGGAAACAAGAGCGAAACTCCGTCTCAAAAAGACAAAAAACCAAAAACCAAAAAAAAAAGGGGGGGGGGATCACCTGAGGGCAGGCGTTCGAGACCAGCCTGGCCAACATGGCGAAACCCCTCCTCTACTAAAAATACAACAATTAACGGGGCATGGTGGCGCATGCCTGTAATCCCAGCTAGTCAGGAGGCTGAGGCAGGAGAACCGCTTGAACCCGGGAGGCGGAGGTTGCAGTGAGCCGAGATCCTGCCATTGCACTCCAGCCTGGGCGACAGAGCAAGACCCAGTCTCAAAAAAATAAAATATGATAAAAACAAAAAAATAAAGTAGCCCCAGCTCAGTGACCCTCCGTGGCATTACCCCGTTTCACTCTACTCGAGACAATTGCCATTAACTGAATTATCTTGTTCATTTATTGTATTCGTGTTTACCGCCTGCCCTTTCCCACAGACAGTGCTCTTTAAGGTCCTGGTCTGTCGTGTTCACCTCTGTAACCCCAGAGTCTCTTCTGTCTACAATACAGCAGGCACTCAATTAATATTTGTATTACAGAAGAGGAGGAAGCTACCTGGGGTTTGGCTTCTTAACCAAACTTGTAAACACTCCCTAGGATTCGTCTGATCGCCTTTAACGTCGGTAACTCTGGAGTGGGAAATCAGTCACCCTTCTCTCTCTCCTTCTTACCCTCCAGCCAGCCCCCTGTCTCGGACAAAGCGCTAAGTTTGCTCAACTCTTTGCAAAATACAACTCTGGGAGGCCCGAGACTGGCGCCTGCACAGCCTTGGCGCTGCTGAGCCATGCTCCTGGCCCGTCACCCATAGGCAGCGAGAAAGCGCCAAGTTTCCGCAGCCCCCGTCCGGCCCCGCCCGCCAGGGAAGGAGGGAGGAAGGGGAGGGCAGAGCCTCTTACCAGTTCATCCGGACTCAAGACTCCGAACTGGACTCTCTTGATGGTGCGCAGCGGGCATGCGCTGTCCCCCGAAGGGGGGCCACCCCCGTGCATGGCGGAGGCAGGCGCGTTGCGCAGGCGCAAACCTCACTACAAAAAGCCTGCGCCGCCTCCGCCTAAGTGCTCAGACCTCGTCAGGGCGGCCACCGGGAAGGACCTCCCCGAGTTGGGAGGAAAAAGCCGGAGGAGGGGAAGGTGGGGGAGGGAAAGAGGCGGGGAAATAAGGAGCGAAAGGAGCCCTTCTTTCCCTTACCGGAAATTGTTCAGCTCCCAAAAAGGAAAAAAAAAAGAAGGGGAAAAGGAAAAGGTTTTTGGGGGAGGAAGAAGAAAAAGGGTAACGAATAAATAAGTAACCGGGCTCCTGAACGGCAGAGGTTACGGCAGTTTGTCTCTCCCCCTTCCGGGAGCCGCCTTCTTCTCCAACCGTCCCGGCCGCGCTCTCGGCGCTTCTGAGCAGCGAACTCGCCGAACGACGCCTCTTATAGATTCGCCCTCGCGTCCCCGCCCCTTCCTTTCCCGCCCTCCCTTGCGCTACGGGGCCGCCTGCGCAGGCCCGCACGGGGTGCGAGCCAGAGTCGTAGGTCCTCCCCCCGCTCGCTGATTGGGCGACATTTTGAAGTGACTGGGAGAGAGGAATTTTTTTCTTTAATCCCACCGCCTCTCCTCGCTGCTCCCTTCTGCACTGAGATTTAAGGTTTGAAGACTCGAGGGTAAAATTGGGCCGCTTTCATTCTAGTTTGGACAACGGTTTCATCTTCAGCAAAAGCCTCTCATTCGTAGCACCCCCCCAGCTGGAAAATGGTCTGCTCTGCGAATCGGTAATGGAGGCGGGGTGGGGCGGGTCCTCCCGAGTGGGCTCCCGGGGGAGGGCGGTTGCTCATGAATATGCAGTTCTCTTGCTGAATATGCATGAACAAGCCAAGATGGCGGGACCAGTGGCTTGTCCGGAAGTAGCCGATGTTGGTCAAACGGCCCCCAGAGACGGTGGGCATCTCCTGGCCTCTAGTGCCGCGCCGTACCGAGCCATGGTCCTAGATCCATGGCCTGAGCCGCTCGAAGAGACTTCAGCTCGGAGGCCTGCTCTGGAAGGAGCCTGGCCACTGTCCGGGAGAGATCACGGGACCGTGACAATCCGAGAAAAGCAGATTAGCCATGGGGCGGGCCACGAAAGTCCTGAGGGATTTGGGGTCAAGGCATCTGAACATTAGGAAATCCTTCACACTGTAAAATATTTCAGGAATAAAATGGAGGGCGGGGATCCCAAGGGATTCTCCAATGAGAACGGTCGTAGGACTTCCACTCTCCCTCCAAAGCAGAGACGACACCACTGCACAGCCACATTCAGAGTAATCCTTGTTTGATGTCAATGTCACGTCACCACCCCAAGGGGGGGGCACAAGCACGAGAAAAGGAAACCTTCGCCGTGAGGGGAGGGGTGGGGAGGCACGCTCCCCTCCCCCAGCGCAGCTGCTGGCTCTGTCTTTGCCGGAACACTCCAGCCCCAATGCTCTTCTCTTTGCTGCTGAGTGAAGTCCTCCCCGTGGCCCACAGCCTGCCTGCCGTGGATCTGCTCCTCAGACTTTACCCCTTAGTTATGCCCTGATTCCCAGGACCCAGCCTGGACTCCGCATCTCTTGGTCCCAGGCTGGCTCCAGGTCTTCCAGGTAGTCACTCTCCACCAAGTCCCCAAGTCACCCTTGACTCTGAGAGGTACCCTCTCCCACACCAGTTCTTTTCCAGTCACTTGTCCTCCCATGTTCGTCTTCAGTCTTTGCCTCTATTTACCCCTGCCCCTCCCAACCCCCGGGCTCCCAAGTTCTATCTCACTCCTCCACCTTCCCTTCCCTCTCACAGCTGAGGTTCCGGGCTGTGATGATGGCAATGCTGCCCAGCACAACCCCTGCCCCCATGATGTCAGAAGGTGCCACAGTCTCATAGAGCATATAATACTGCAGTATAAGGGCCACCACCACCTCAGAATGCAGGACAGCGCACACCAGGGCAGGGTGGGCCTTGGTGACCGCATAGCTCACACATGTGAAGGAGACCAAGGCGAGGATCCCCACTGCCCCCACACAACTCCAGCTCAGAAGGTCACTGGGCAGCACGGGGGTCTGCAGCACAAAGAGGCCTGGCACAGAGCCCAGCAGCCCCACCAAGCCAAATAGGAAGGCCACTGTTGGGAGGCAGGAGGGAAAGTGCAGAGAACGATAGACCAGAAGCCCCAGGGACAGCGTCAGGCCTCCCAGGAAAGCGAGCACATAACCCAGGGCAGTGTAGAGACCCGTGGTCCCCTCCTGCAGTGTCCCTAGTCCAGGTCCCACAATGATGATTAGTCCTAGAATGCTGCCCAACAGTCCACACCAGTCGTAGCCACTGAGACCCTGGCTCTCAAGGCAGAGGGCGAGGAGGGCGGAGCAGACGGTGGAAGAACCTTTGCGAACAGTGGCAGCGTTGCCAGCGGGCACCACCTGAACCGCACTGTAGGCACATCCAATGCTGAGGACGTTGAGCAGGGCATGGAGGCAGGCCCGGCCTCGGATGTCAGGAGGTCCCAGAAGTGGGTCGCCACGCAGTTTAAGTAGCAGGGCAATAGGGAGGTGAAAGAGACACCGACAGACGAGCAGCTCCAGCGAGGGCAGGTTGGAAGCCTGGTAAGCCATACGAGAAAGGGGGCCCACGAAGCCAGCAGGCAGGCCCCCACCCAACAGGGCCACCAGCAGACCCTTGGTGGCATCAGAGGGCTGGCAGCGCTGGTGCGAGGGGAGGCTGGGTGGAGTGGAGGGCGGCGATGGCTGCGTGAAGTCGGGCAGGTTGAAGTAGGGGTGACTGCCAGCCTGTTAGGGAGAAAGGAGCTCAGGGTAGACAGTAGCCACAGCCCGGGTGACCTGGGGCAGGGCAGATGCGAGGATGGGGTCTGGGAGGAACTCTTGGGAGCTAGAAAGGGCCTAAAAGATGGGTGAGATGGTATAATGTGGGTCTGCAGCAGGAAGCAAGGAGTGAGCAGTCCTGGAGTATCATTTCCTAGGTAAGATGTTCCTGGGAGGAGAAAAAGGAACCAGGATGCCCTCTTGGATTGAGGAAGGGGAGGAAGCCTCAGATGCTATGCATCTGTGTGATGCCACAAGTTCCAGAGACACCTGGGTACACCATTATGAATTCTATTTGTGGGTATCTCTGAGACAGCTAAGTTTTAGGAAAGGAGGGGAAATGGAGCAACCAGGAGCTATAGGGAGGGAGTATTGGGCCCCTGGCCCCCACACTCACCATCTTTCCTTGGACTTTCTCCTCTCTCCTCCTGGCTCAGGGAGCCTGGGCCCCTCAGAGCTCCAGCCATTGTGACCTGGTTGGAGTGGGGGTGGGGTTCTTCCCTGGAACCCTCCTGAGGTGGTAGTGCGCCTATTTTCCCACTGAGTCTAACTCTGCTTCTTTTCTTTCTTTTTATGTTTGAAATGAAGTTTCCACTCTTGTTGTCCAGGCTGGAGTGCAATGGTGTGATCTCATCTCACTGCAACCTCCACCTCTCAGATTCAAGCGATTCTCCTGCCTCAGCCTCCCAAGTAGCTGGGATTACAAGCGTGCGCCACCACACCTGGCTAATTTTTCTTTTTTTTTTTTTTTGAGATGGAGTTTCACTCTTGATGCCCAGGCTGGGGTGCAGTGGTGCGATCTCAGCTCACCGCAGCTTCCGCCTCCCAGGTTCAAGCAATTCTACTTCATCCTCCCAAGTAGCTGGGATTACAGGCATGCACCACCACACCCAGCTAATTTTTTATTTTTAGTAGAGATGTTGTTTCTCCATGTTGGCCAGGCTGGTCTTGAACTCCTGACATCAAGTGATCCACCCCACCTCAGCCTCCCGAAGTGATGGGATTACAGGCATGACCCACCCTGCCCAGCCCAGGCTGGAGTGCAGTGGCACCATCTAGCCATCTCGGCTCACTGCAAGCTCCGCCTCCCGGGTTCACGCCATTCTCCTGCCTCAGCCTCCCAAGTAGCTGGGATTACAGGCGCCCGCCACCACACCCGGCTAATTTTTTTGTGTTTTTAGTAGAGACGGGTTTCACCGTGTTAGCCAGGATGGTCTCGATTTCCTGACCTCATGATCCGTCCGCCTCTGCCTCCCAAAGTGCTGGGATTACAGGCGTGAGCCACCGCACCCGGCCTCAGAGAAGTTTTAAGGCAAGGAGCTCTGAAGCCTGGCTCCTCTATCTCCTTAGTTTTTAATTTTCCAGCACCAGGGAGGAGTTCTTGGGATTGTCCCTGTGGAGTTTCAGGAATGTGTTTTTTTCTGTGTGTGCTTCCACCTGGTGTTTTGTTGATGCTGTCCCCAGAGGCCGACAACAAGGCTTCTGCATTTATGTTCAAGGATACAGGTGTGGATCTATCTGCTGGTGGGGACAAAGTACCCAGCCAGCTTCGTGTGTTCATTTGCGCTGGTGGTCGTTAATGTGTGCCCCGTGTGCATGGCCAGGGCCTTCCTTTTCCGCGGCCTGCTGAGCGTTCCTGCGCATTCCTGGAGAGGGTGTGTGTGTGTGTGTCCAGGGCTGGCCCTCTTTGAGTGTGCTGACCCTGAGTCTGTGGGTCCCACTGGGCCTGATTATGAGTCTGCCATGTCATGTCTGCACCCTGAGAGCCTGTGTGTTAAATGCTTTCAGGCAGTGTGCACCGCTGAGTGAAGGGCGTGCAGGGGGAAGGGCGGAGGGAGCCCTTTCCCTGGGGGGTCGGTGGTCTTGCGCCCCTGCCGGGGTGCTGCAATCCGGCCCGCGCCCGGCTCGGTGTCCACCCGCCCGGTGGCCCAGCGCGGCGCGGTGTCCTGCCGCGGGGATCAGTCCCGGGGAAGGCCGTCGGGCGCTCGGAGCTTTGTGTCGGTGTCGGCTGCGCTGCGCCGGCCTCCTCTCGGCGGCGACGGCGGCGGCGCTGGGGGGGGACTGTTTCCGGGGGTGGGGGTGGGGGTAGGACCGGGGCGGGGGGAGCCGATGATGTCAGCGGCGGCGGCGGCGGCGGCAGCGGGGCCGGGCCGGGGCCAGGCGCTGGGGGGGCCGGGGCCGGAGCCGGAGCCGGAGCGGGAGCTGGAGGCGGGCGAAACCGGAGCGGCCGGGGGCGGCCACGGTGATGAGCCGGGCCTGGCGGACGCGGCGCCATCACAGTCAGGTGGGCCCCGGGGCGAACTGGGCAGGGCCAGGGCGGACCGGAGCCAACTGCCGGGCCCCCTCTCCGCTGCCCGGCGCCGCGGAGCCCCGGCCGCGCCCCGCGCCCAGACCGCTCTCCTTTGGGGTTGACCTGGGGGCGCAGGGGTCGGGAGCTGAGCCTGGCCCCGCCCCCGGGCGCACACGACGCTGGGGGGCGACTAAGGGGGCCCTGGTATGGCGTCCGAGCGAGCGGCGGCCGGGGGACGCGATCGCCTGGGGCCGTGGAAGGGGCGGCGCTCACTCCCCCTTTGAAGGGTTAATTCTGCAGCCTAATGTCCCCCTCCCCCCGTGGGGCAGGTTGGGGGTGGGGTGGGGCGGGTGTGAGCCCGGGCAAGCGCTGCAAGCTGCTGGGAGGGCGATGGCGTAGGAGCCAGGCAGAGAGGGGGAGGGGTGGGCCGCCGAGCGCCCCAGAGTTGGGGTGTGCGGGGTGCGCAGGGCGAGCTGGGGCCCCGGAACCACCGCGCCGTCGGGGCAGGGTTGTGGCTGTGAGTCTTGGAGATCGTGTGTCTCGTGCTGTGTGGTGGGGCAAGGTAAACCTCTCCTGGGCACCACCGTTTGCTGGCAGCCAGGGGTCTGGGTAGGGCCCTCCCTGGGCCACGGAGGTAGAAAGCCAGAAGGGGTGTCCAGTGTTGTGGGGCAGAGTTACAAGACGAGCCCTGTGGCTCTGGGTGACAGATGGGCATTCTGAGCAGGGCACAGCATGCTGGTGCAGAGTTTGTTCGATGTGGGGCTCTGTGTTTTCTACAGCATGTGTTTTCTCGCATGTGCGTCTTGTGCTGCACCTATGACCTGTTTATGAACTGTTTTCTGCAGAGCTGGCATGCTGTATGTGTTGCGGAGGGTGCCAGGATGCAGTGTATGTGCCCTTTTGGAGGGGGCGGTTGTGGGCCTTTTAGTCAGAAGGCGTCACGTCTGGGTCCCATTTCTGTTGCTCTGCTGAGGTGTGGTCCAGTGGTAAAGAGGGCGATGGATGGGTTTGCGTGTCCGTCATGAGCGCGTTGCATGGGGGCTGCGCGTCTAGAACTCAGATCCGGAAGATCTGGAGTGAGGAACCCCAGGGTGTGTCTCGGGCCTGTGGGTCAGCTGGCATTGGTGTGAGGGGTTCGGGGTGGAATGCGCCACTTGTGTTTGTGGGATCATGGGCAGCCAAGCAAGGGGAAGGTTCTGCGTTTGCAACATTCTCCACAGGATTCTTTTGTGACGTTGTTTGTAGGAGCCTGTCCGGGCTGCTGGGCTGGGAGGCAAGCTGGTCAGAAAACACATGTGGGGAGGGAGGTGGCGTGACAAGGGTAGTGTGGGCCTCAGACCCAAGAGGCCAGCCGCAAGCAGGCTGTGTATGCGTGCCTGCCGTCTGTGTGCTTAAGTGGTGGTGGGGCTGCGGAGGGGATTTGGTATGAGGAAGGCGGGAGATAAATGCAGGGTAGCGCATGGCGGCCGGCGGGAGGCATGGGTGTTGTCAGGCGGCCCAGCTAATCTTTGCAGGGTCTGTTTGCCCCTCATCAGCCTGCCCAGCATGTCAGGGTCACCCGGAGGAGAGGCTGGGCGGCCACAAGGGAAGTAAGCTTAGACAGAGCGGCTCCTTGGCCATGTTTATGTAAAGGCTGGGTGTGACTCTTGTCACTAAAATGGAAAAAAGAAACGTGAAGTTTTCAGCCTCCTCCTGCTTCACCCTCTCCCTCTCTCTGCCCCCCTTGTGGGTATCTCTGACGCACACTGGGCCCCACTCCTGCGACGGTGGAAGGGCCTCGGAACGGAATTCGCTCACTAGGCAGATTCCTCAGAACAGGTTTTCCTCACCTTTGGGGCCTGGGCCCTTCTAGGGGTGTGTGTGCGAGTGCATTCCAAGCCTGCACACCACTGTCTACTGTGCCTGGCCCCACTGGAAGGATGTGTGTATGTAGGGGAAGGGAGGGTGCTGTGGACAGGCCCTCCGGCATGGGGGGCTGGGAGGGGGTGGCCGCCTGGGGGAGCCTGCACAACAGGTGCACAGTGACAGCCTGGTGAAGAGAAAGGAGCCATGGCCCAGGGCTGAGGAGCTCTGGCGTCTTTACCATTCCCTCACTGGCACTTGATCTGAAGGAAGCTCAGTTCCTCATCTGCGGAATGGGGCTGATTGCCTGCCCTGCATATCTTCCGAAAGCACGTGGGAAACAGACCTGAAAGTGGCTGCAGTCTGGGGGCTGGCACAGCCCCTGTCAGCCCTCCGTCAGGACTGGGAATTCCCTTCTCGGGGCTTGGCTGATAATAATGGCAGCACACACTTGCTTAGCACTGACCGTGCACCAGCCACTGTCTTCAGGGCGCTTACGTGTGGCCACTCAGTCCTCCGACCAACACCATGAAGTAGGCACTGTAATTACCTCCCTTTTTCAAGTGAGGCAGCTGAGGGCCAGAGAAGTTAAGTAATTTGTCCCAAGTCACTTAGCTAGTGAGAGGTGAAGCTGTATTTGAACCTGGGCAATCAGGTTGCAGATCTTGTGCTCTTAACTACTGTACTCTGCTACCTTCTGGAACATTCAGTGGATGGTCCTTTCTGTGCAATTGCCTCCAACACTCTTCTCCCCAGTTACTGCAAAACTTAGCATCTGTGCAGCAGTCCATTTCAGAAGACCCAGATGCTCAGGGAGCCCCAGCTGAGGCCATGAGAACCTGAGTCTCTGCTGCTGCATAAGGTGGATGGTGGCCATAGGGGCACAAAAGGTTGATGAGTCAGAGGAAGGAGAGATTGTCCTCATCTTGTCAGTCAGGGAGGGCCAAGAAGGAGGTGGCCTTGGAGTTAGATCTTAATGTTTTGGAGGGATTTTGACAAGCTTGGGGAAAGAGCATTTCTGACAGGACAAGCCAGCACAGGCAAAGGTGTGCAGGTGTGGGTCATGTAGAAGCTGGAGGGCACACTGGGTGTCTGGGGTTTCATTCATTTGTTTAGAGATGAGGTCTCACTATGTTGCCCAGGCTGGACTCAAACTCCTGGGCTCAGGCAATCCTCTAGCCTCAGCCTGCTGAGTAGCTGGGACTATGGGTACATGCCACCACGCCCGGCTCACACTGATTACTGTGTGTTTGAAGAGGATAACACAAGGCAAGATTAAAAAGGAAGATTGGAGCTAGACTAGAGCCCTTGACTGCCTGGTAGAAGAATCTGGATTTTATTCTAGAGTCAGTGGGGACCAGTGGAGGTTTTGAGCCCAGGAGTGATATTCCTGAACTGTGGTTAGGGACGTTGACCCTCGGTGGGAGGAGGGCTAGGTGGAGGAAGGTAAGCCTGGAGGCCAGGGGATAGCTGGGAGGCTATAGCCTTGGA